ACCGCTTTGAAGCCGGCTTCACCGAGAAATTCACATCCCCTACGGGTGCGAACTGAATTCCCCATGTTATGCTGGTATTTTGAAGCCCATGGGGGCATGAGTTTGAGGCTTGCTTCCACGAGGCTTCCAAATCCCCACAGATTCACCATGCAGGCAGCTCAGTCACGTGCGCAGATGTGTAGTCAGTCGACACCAATCGCATGTATCGATCCGAATCCCTTCGCATGTCTGTGCGCGCAGTGGGCTTGTATCAACTCATATCGCTTCATCAGACCACAGTCTAAGCGAGCATCCGCAGTCTTTGAATGCTGCAGAACAGCCGACGACGGAGCATCGTTCATTCGAAAGCCTGGGCTGCTGTGATGCATGATGTTGCATGCCATCATTGTCGAGTCGTCCAACAAGCATCGCAACTGTTCGCAGCACTGACACCAGTACGTCCTTTTCTCGTTAGAGTATGCATGACAGGCTCTAACAGGCGCGTCCATTTTCCAGTTGCATTTCTTGCTACGTGATTTCCGGAGGTGAAGTCGTTTCACAAAGTATAATCGCACACATGAACTGACACACATGCAATAAGGAGTCTGTATAATTTTATGAAGGCCATGTGACTACAACGAGGCGAGGCGTGAGATGCTTCCACGGACATCCAGAACTCAACCAGGAGCTTCGCTTTCACTCACGACACATGAAGATCATCGTGTTCACCTGTATTGCTGAGGCTATGGCTCCATGAAGCTTCTGAAGACATTCCCAAAGCTTGGGCGCAACAGCTGCCAGTACAATCAGGAGTTTCAATCTTTCCGAGACATGAGAGACATGACCAAGACTCTTGTGACTCTGACGTGCCTGGCAAAGCCACAAGGAGCGGTCTTTCCACAAAGACCACCTGGCCCGGCTCGCAGGCCTCCGTTGCGTTGCTGGCTTTTGCAAAGTGGAAGCAGAGTCACAGGCTTCAGATGGCTTCAGCAGAGCCCAAGTGACCTAGTGGAAGCAGGCACGGACCATGTGAGGCGGAGTTGGGGCCCGGGGGTTGAGGCCAAGGGCTCCAGCAGCCTGGCCCTGAAAGGATTCGCATTGATCCCCCAAATCATAAAGCCTTTGGTCAAAATCCCAACTTCCTCGCTTAGAAAGATGTGGGGAAATGCACATGTGCGTCATGATGCCTCGCACATGCACCAGCCTCGTTGGTAAAAAGACACCGTCCCTTTTGCTTCGTTTCTCGGACGGTGGCCCGCCGCTCAATCCTGCGCACCGACAGCTCCGGAGAGTCGACGCCTTTTGCTTTCGCTTTGCTTGGCCGTGCCTTGCTTTGCTCCAGGCAGTGGTTTCGTCGGAAGGACGCATAACCTGACGCACGCAACGTCAACGGCCTTTGCATCATGCGGCCTTTGCTTGTTCCCTGAACCTGGTCGAAGCTGACTGTGCGGTGCGACGTGTCCGCCTCGGCAGAGATCAATTCTTTTAAGAGAGTACCACGATAACGACGAAGGCGACCAATCAGAAAGCTCACTTGACAGCCGCCAGGCCAGTTGTTTGCTGAAGGCCATGTCGCACATGAGAGAACGCTGCAGTTGACATCGCAGACCCTTCGGGTCTAAAGAAAACTCAACTGACTCAACTCCTCAACCGAGCTCATCATCAACAAGCATCGAAGCTTTGAACTTGGCAATCTTCAACAGTCCTCATCTGATCATCTTGCCGAAAGACATTGTCACACTAAGAACGTAACATCGTCCCATGTGACGACCACCTTCCTGTCCAGTTCGCGCACCTGCAGGCATTGCATGGAGCCCATTCCAGACTACATTCCATCACAAAACTATTTTCCGGCCCACACGAGGCATATCAAGTAAATCTACCATGCAAATAAGACCAACCACTTCGAAAACAAGAAGCAGAAAAGAACACTAAAGTTCAAATCAATTCGGAAAATCATGGAAACAAACTCCGGAAGCTCAGCCAGAAACCCCGAAGTAAGCTGCACAAGTCAAACACTGATCACAAATCATCACCGATCCCTTGAATCCTACCAGTAACCCTGAACACCCTTTCCGTTTTCCGAATCGGTGTTCTGAATCCGCCCGCCTGCACTTTGAAAATCTCGGTTGTTGTCCGAACAACACTAATCCCAACCCAAAACCAATACTGTCATTCATGCACCTCAAGATGCACAACGATGCTGGACGTACCAAACATAGTGAGACTACAAGCAGCATCGTCACATTGCCATCCAGTTGCAGTCTTCACAGCCCTCGACTACGCTGACGACATCATTCTGAGCAGATGAGAGCAGCAGCTCGCCTCTGCTATCGTGCACACCTGAGTTGCACCAGCGTCAGCAAGCTTGCACCAACGGAAATCAGCACCCGCCAGCGGTGTTTTGGTGAGATTCAGGCGTAGTAGCAGCTGTTGCCCGCCCAAACAGCATACACACGATCACCGACCTTCCACCTCGAACGCACCGGCACTCGCAGCGGCCGTCATCCTTGGGCTATACTCCTGAGGTTGCAACTTCTGCTCGCCATCATCTGCCTCCACCTCCTCCTGATTCAGGCGGTGCTCTGGGGTCAATAACACAAACAGTACGCCAGTGGCACATACAAGTGCTGCATGGTGCAAGCTGCGGAACACGGCAGCCTTTGAATCCGGTAGATCACACTGCCGGGTCATCAAAGACCTTGTGATGGTCTGCAGCCAGGCAGTGTTCCAGAATCAGGCGGGGAGCGTAAGAGATCGCCTCCTCGATGTGGTATTGGCTGCCCAGTCATGTGCCACAAGCCATGCGGTCTAAAGCAGAACCTTAAGCTACAGAAGGTGACAGAATCCCTTTCTGCACTTTGCAGCAGTGCGCAAAAATGTCAGTCGCATGCTATAGCAACTGCTTCATGACTGCGGTCTGCTGCTACGTTGACTGGGATTGACGATGTTGTGCATGGCTGCAATGCTGAAGGGCGGGACCATGAGACATGAAGCCACACGGCTCCAACAAGGGGCAGTCTCGAAGGTTTTGGAACTCAATCTCCTGGATCCGTGTCACAAAGACATGATTTTGCTCACCGTTCGCAGCGGACTCCATGTTGCTGGTGCTCGATCACTCTTCCATCATCTTTGCCTGCGAGTATTAGCCAATGCATAACAACACCTCAGCCAATGCTCAATATTGCTAGAAACACCCTGCGGCCACCTGCGCGGCTGCGATTTTGGCAGCGACCTTGGATGTCCAGCTGCGAAACTAGCATTAACCGGAAATCTGACAGGCGTGAACCTTTGCGCGTCGCTGATCCAATGAGATTTTGTGGAAGCGGGTATGCTCAGTGCCATCTGATGCCTGTGACAAGGCAGGCATGTGCAAAGACACCAAATATCGAAGCTGCTGCTAGCGGAGACCTTCATGGTATCACCATCTTTGTCATAGGTAATATCCTGCACACAACAAGTTGCCTGGGACTCGAGTTGAGACTGGAGTGACACCTCCACTCCACTGCGTTTCGGTCCTTCTTCTCCGCCTTCTCACCATCTGGATCCTCACGGATCTTTTCGTGAGCCTCTGTGTACATGTCCTGGAAAAAACGCCGCAGACTAGTCGTGAAGAGAGGGCATCAGACACAAGAAGGTGGTCCTCCATCTTCTCAGCATCGATGCCTGCTTCAATGTACTTGGCAAAGTGCGCCTCGTACTTAGTTGGATCTTCTTCCTGCAGCATCTCCATGTACTCCTTGACCTGAGATCTACAGTGCAAAAAAGAGGGTACGCGAAGGCTAATTAATGTGTTCCGAGATCCAAGCATGATTCCCAAAGATCTTCTCTTTGTGCGCTTCAGCATCATACTCGGACTCCCCACCCTTCTCATCTGCTGCTTTGAAGCCTGGGAAGTTCTTCGTGCTGTGCGGCACGTGCAAGCCGCCATCCACGGCACCCTTTAGAGCTCCCCACATCCGGTGTCCGACACAGGTGCGGCGAATTCCAACATCCAGGATGCACTTGAAAGGTCGCTGCTCGTTGTCTTCATCCTCAATGTGGTAGTCCTCACCATCAAGCTCCTCCTTGCCCTTGAACTTCTCATCCAAGCCAAACTTCTTGAGCACACGGCGTGCCAGAAGCAGTCCTGTAGCATATGCTGCTGCATAGTTCTTGTGCCCAGCTACAATTCCGAAGTGCGCGAGCTCGTTGGATGCAGCAGCAGCCACGACAACATCGCCACGAAGAGTGGCATAGACACACTGGCAGATGCAACGCTTGTTTGTGAAGCGGACAACCAAACGATACTTGCGGTTGTTGAACTTGTTCTTGTCCTGCCTTACCATCTTGCGTCTTGCATGGTAATCGGTCTTGCCCTCTCGACGGCGCCGCTTCGCAACTTGAAACCTCTTAAAGTATGCCGCGTTCTTCAGCACCTTCACGAAGGCCATCTTCTACACCGAACGCCCGCACGTGGCCGGCACCCTCCCGGAGTCCCAACGATCTGAGCCGTCTCCCTAGAACGCAAACATTGTCGCTGTTCTCCAGGTCACGTGAAACAGGGAATGCACAAAACGCAGATCTCCCAAGCACACATCACTAACACCCTTACGTTGCTGTCAGGCATCGGACCGGCCGACTACGATGCGAACTGGATCGCTGTTGATAATGCACGAAAAGCAAATCATCATGAAATTCCGCTGCTTTGCTCGCGTCTTTTGCCAAGCATCGCGAAGCTTTTGGAGCTACTACGCCTACATCACGACTATGTCGCAAAGCGCTTGAAGCTTGGCGCATCAGTAATTTCTCCTGGAGCCGGTCCTCAGGTTTGCCATTCAACTTCAAGAAAGGCAGAAAGACAGTTGAACCCCTTCCTTGGCAGGCCAAGGCGAGATTGCCAGAAGTCCAAGGGACGCTGAGCGCCAACTAACAACCATGGGTTATCGCGTGCCCCCACCCATCCGCCCGGCACGCATGCTCTCTTTTCTTTGGGAGGTGGTTGGTCGCGAGCGAGCCCTTGCTCGGCGGTTGCCCGGCCCAGCCTTCTCGGAAGGATGGGCCAGGACTTACAGCTCAACCTCTAACTAACTTTAGGCAAGGAGCCGAACTTTAGGCAAGGAGCCGGTGGCTCCCCCAGGCGTCCCCCGAAAGCCACCTTCTCCCCCCTCCTACTTTTGTCTTCCTTGTTTCGGTACCTTAGTGGGAACCTCCCCCCTAGAACGGGGTCCTAGTCGTCCCTCTTGATGCGGGCCCCCTGGGTCGGCAGCCCGCACCCGGACAACCGTCTCGGAAACGCCCACGAAGCGCAAACCGGTGCTGCTTTTGCCTTGCTTGGCCTCGCTGGCCCTGACCCCCGGCCCTGGCCCCCCCCTGCCTTCCCCGATTCGCTGGGCTGTCCTGGTGGGCAGAGCACTGGTCCTTCCCCGTGAGGGGGGCAGTCGGGAGCTCCAAGGGCATCCCCGGTATGCGTAGTAAACGCCCTCGCCCTCAGCGTCTCGAACTACCGCAAATCCCCTCTCGCCCTCCATGATCCTGAGTCCTGAAACCAGTGAAAGCGTGGCGATTTTGGTGCCCATGACTCCCGGCCATCGCTCCAGGACCTGCAGAAACCGCCTCGAACTAGGCGCTCCAGCTCCCCCCTAGCTGCGTAGTTGCCGTCGGAAGGAAAACGCCTCACCCGACCACCTTTTCGGATACGGTCAGGGGGGTCATCGATGTCGGGGTCGCCCGCGGCCTCTCCCATGCTTGCCAGGAGCCCGCACCGCCACCGTGGGTCCGAGCTCGGTCTCCTTGCCGGGGACCCCCAAAAGCTCGGCCATCCGTGTCGCCGCGGCTGCTCCTGCCTTTTCAAGAGAGGCCCGAAAGTGGAGGCTTACTGCTTGCCATCTGACTCAGCGCTGAAGGCCTGCTGTAGGTCTTTCGCCAACTCCACTGCTTCACAAAGCGATGGTCGCAAGAGGTCCCCTATTCGGGCCCATCCTGGAATTTTCTGCGCTGAACTGGCCGGGGCCCTCATTCCTCCTATGCACAGCTCGTTCTCCCTTTCCAGGAGTTCTCGCTTCGACTCGTGGGCTGCGGTGCTCGCGACGCGGCGCCTTGCTTTTGGGGCTCCTCCGGTGGCCGGGCTCTTGCGTCGCCACCCTTTGCCAGGTGCCCCTTGAAAGCCTCCGCAAGTGCCTTGCAGAGCCGCAAGCGAGCTTCGCCAAACCTCTCTGCCGCTCTCCTCGCACCACACCTTGCCCTTGAGCGGCGTGTGGGTGTGCTGTGGAGCCTCCCGGCACCGCCGCGCCAGCGAGTGGAAGCATTCGCCGTTGGTAAGCAGCCCTGTTGCCTTCTGGTGGGCCGCGCCGTAAGCGCACTGGTCCAGGGCCACCAGAGCTCAGGTCTGACAAGAAGCCGGAAGACTGGGGCCCCGAGGCTGAGGAGGGCAACCTGCGAGCCTTGCGGGCGGAGGCCTTTGCCGAGGAGCAGGACAAGGGTGGTAGGCTCTTCACCACAGAGCACCCCCTCCGCTCCGACATGTGGGACCTCGAGCCCTTCAAGAAGAGAAGGAAGGAGGGCCCGCCTAGCACCCCCGTCCTTGCGGTCGTCCCTCGCACAAGGGGGTGCCATGTGGATCCAGGCCGGCTTGTGCTTGCGGATCACTTCCAGCGTCTCCGTTCTTGTCCAGCGGGTCCCAAACCTTAAAGCTGGTGCCCTGCAGCGCTTCCCGCACCGCCTTCGTGACACCTCCTTTCGGCTCCAGCAAAGCAGGCTCCTCGCCTGCCTCCTCGGCCGCAGTGCCAGCGCCGCCTGCTTCCGGACCTCCGTCCTGAGGGGGCACAGGCTGCCCAACCTCAGGAGGATCTGGGGCTCGCCCCCCCCCCAGACACTCTTGGCACAGGTGCACATAGCCCTTCGAACACGCCTCAGCTGTGCACGTGCCGTCGCCGCAGCCGAACCAGATGTTGCGCGCCATCTGGTCGGTGAGGAAGCGCACCTTGAGCCCCTTGCCCTTCCCTCCCCCTCCTGTTCGTTGGTGGGCCGGCGCGGGGGACGTGGCTTGCGCGGGGGTCTCGTCGGACGGCCCTCCGGGGAGTCGGTCAGGTCGGTTCCTGATCCCGTCACCCCTTGGAGATGTCGGATAGCCGAGTCTCTCACATGTTCATCCCATTTTTCTTTATCCTGGGCCGCGACACGGAACACCCGCTCCCAAGGACGTCCTGGTTGGAACCTCGGCTCCAGCCCGTGGTCGTGGTTCTCCAGGAGCTTTCTTCTCAACTTCGGGAAGCGCTCAGCTCGGCAGCGGTCCTCTTGGCTACCTCCAGCAGGTGCCCCGAAACCGGTCCCTGAAAAGGTCAAGGGTGCCCTGCGTCACCATGGCGATCTTTTCCCCTGCCGCATCCTTGACCTCGAACATGAGGAGGGCATTCTCGAACACACACCAGGATGCAAGCCAGGCATCGTAGTTCGGGGGGCCTGGCACCTCCACCGTCCTGAACGTGTCATCGGGTTGGGTTCTTGAATTGTACTTCTCCAGCACCTTGAAGTAGCCGTCGACCTCCGCCATGTCGGGGACCTCAGCCTCGTCGGCTTGGTCCAGCACGCTGCTCACCTTTATCTTCCTCTTGGCCGGGTCCAGCCCAGCCGTGGCGGGAGCCGCAGCCGCGGGTGCCGCGGACCCTGCGCCCGTCACCCCTCCAGGCCCCGAGGTCAGAGTGGGGGTAGGCGTCGTGAGTAAGGCCCCGCTCGGTGGCGGGGGCATGGCCTGGTTCGCCCGCAGTGCCATGCTCGGCAGGAACGTTCCCCGCGGGCGGAAGCCCTGCTGGTACCTGGTGACACCCTCGAGCCACGACTCAACGGGGAACGATCGTGAAGACCCTGCCTCCAGCAATAACCTGGTTGTTGTTTTAAGCACTGCGTGCAATGCATAACAAGGGATCTTGCGAGCCAGTTCGGGCTTCCATGCACAGTGCACTGCAGTCTTTCAAACGTTTGGTACGGTCAGTCGCTTCTACTTGAAGCAGACGATCTTCTATGATGGGGCCACGGCCAGAGATGATGTGCTGCACACGAATCTGAGATGCAGGCTCTTACCCTGAATAAGTTCCAGCGCTGACTGCACATTCATCCCAGACCTTGCGGGCAGTTCTGTTCTGGCACAGAGGACAAATTCTATACACTCAGGCCAGAGGGCGGAGAAGCAGAGAGGCAAAGAGGCAGGGAGGCAAACAGGCAAACAATCAGAGAGGTATCATCAATCAAACGGCGCAACACCACAAGACTAACCCGTGAAGTAAGCGCAGTGGAAAACGAAGCTTCAATGGAGTAGATGGATGAGCAGTACAGTCGCACGCCACGGGAAAGAATGTCGGTTGCCGCGCTTGAAACTCCCCGTGCTTGAAACAACGATAAGCAAAACAAGGCGATGCTACGAAAATCTTCGCACTTCAAGTCCTTGCCTTGAAACACTGGTCATGTACGCCTGCTTCTTTTGCTGCAACTCCTCGTATCTCCACAGTGAAGGGACAAACAGGTCTGGTCGTGTCCCGATTGGTTCTTGTGACTTTCGGCAAAGATGCAGGCAACGGCTCCTGCTTCAGTCTCGTCACCTCGTTCAACTTTTGTACATCACATGCGCGAACCTGTCATCGCTTCAGCACTCAAATACACTTGAAAAGACGATTGCTGGCCTCGCCCTTCTTGTTGAAGCCGACAGAAAAAACCACGGTGTCGCCAATTCTGGCCCCCTGCTTCGACAATGCAATTAATGCAACCTAGCAGCCGCCACTTGTCCCCAACTCCACCATGCATAAGACATTGTGAGAAAAATCAAGCAGCAAGGCACAAGGCGCCATGCTTTCGTGGAAGCATGGACAGCTGAGCGAGGAGGTCCCAAGTGAGATATGTGCCGCCCTGGGCAGTGATGAGAGGGATGAAAATGCAGGGGCATGCAATGTTTTGGATCGGCAGATAACGGGACACTGGTCCGAGAAACAATGGATCGTTGCGTTTCGATTTCGTCCGACCTTCCAGCGACACAATCTATCGATCAGGCAGGACTGCAGGCGCACAAGTTGCCATTCATCAACCATGGACTCACTGAAAAACAAGACATCGGGACTTCGGGTGATCCCATAGAATCAGCCCAAAGCGATTCAAATCCTGAAGCCGGTGCCGTCTCGAGTCTCGGACTTCCACAAAGGGAGCTACACAAGCGTGGCTGGCAAGTGCTTCAGACAGACCGAAGTCAAAAATGAAGGAGAATGCAAACTGAGAACCTCAAAATGAAGCAGCATGGGACCGACTGCGATTCGTTCTTGAGGTGATTCTATGTGCCGCGATGGACCTCGCAGCAAATTTGGGGCCTTGGCCGGTTTGCGATCATATGCTGGCATTAAGGGCCCCCGACCTGATATCGTTCGAGCACGACAAGGCAAAAAGCCAGCTACTTCTGCACTGGTTCTCGCGTCTTCGATGCTTTCCTTTTGCCTTGAAACTGCCTGACCTCTATTGCGATTCTCTGTCGTCTACCGCCTGACACTGCAGCATTGGGATTGGGGACACGATTGGTTCCCTGCTTTTGGCTTCAATCCTGCCTGGTATGACTCCCTGTCGATGAAAATGTCTCGACCGAATCGCTTGAAGGTCTCCGAGCACGACACAAAGCCATAGCCCTTCAGAGTGTCAAACTTGGATATGAAGCCGACATAGTGATGAGACCTTGCAGCGCGCAATCACGAGAAGCTTGAACAGGCAATTGGCTAAGGCCTGCTACAATATTCTAAGCAAGTACTGCTAGGATCAGACTTTTGCGGTTTTTTTACAGCACCAGCCTTTGGACGGATGGGCCAACAGCTTCGGCTTCAGAGCAATCTGTACTGGAGCCGCCTATCCAGAATCACCGACATGCTGCCATGCTTCAGGCTTTACCATTGCCGTTCGCAACTCATTCAGCTCAACATGGACTGTTCGAGGAAAAGCAAAAACTTCGTTATCTCAGGATAAGGGAGATCTCGCGTTTTCTCGAGATCTGCCAGGCCACTGTGCGGCTGCTCGCTTCACCTTGTCCTCCGCTTCTCGCACCCGCTCCTCCAAAGAGTTGAGCTCGGCCAGAGCGTTTCCGGCATCGACAGTGCTGCCTTAGGTGCACACATCACCTTCCATCCACCTTCGGACACAAAGGAAGCGCTGACAAAACAAGGAGGTTCTCAAACTCTCTGCTGCCGAACTGCAGACTTGGCTGCGCTTAACCTCACCTTCTTCAACACATTGCATTATCAGGCGTCCAACTACACGGCACCTACACTATTCAAAGCCCCGAAAAAGTATTGGAACAGATACATACATGCTTACGGCGTAGACTCCCATGTGTTATTACGGTGGAACAGGGTATGGGCAACACAGAAAGCAGAGAATAATCTGCGCCGACACAAACAGCGAAACAGGCACAAAATACAGAAACCGCATGCATGTATGCCGGTAATCATATGAGAGAACACTTGGGCCACATTGACAGAGCGTACGAACTGCAAAGCTTAACGAGAGAGAGAGAGAGAGAGAGAGAGAGAGAGAGACAACTGTAACATATCATGATGTATGGTCGGAAAAAGGCTGACATCACGTGCGAACAGACACAGGTGACCGATACATAATATGCGCAAGGTGCATCTCAAACTCTCAAACTTTAGAGTTTGGCCGGAGAGATCTTGCGCGTGCCTTGGGAATGTCTAACAAGCAGACCGCGATGTGTTGCTCTTCCGAATGCGCCGTCATGCAAAGCTTTGCACGTTTTGGGTTTGCCGCCGTGTTTGTCACGAGAGCAGGCTTATTTTTGTCTGTCGCGACTTGGGTGCGAAATGTGTTGTGTATCGAGGCAGGCGGCTCTGGTGTGGGGTGCCTGATTGTTTGCGGCATGGTGAGGGTGCATTTATTCTGCTGTCCTGGCAAGGTTGGGTATCTTGGTCAGCTGCATGAAGACGACTAGTGTAAGTGTAAGCACACCACGTACGTGCACACAAGCGTATGTTGGATACGATGTGGGTATGTAGTGGTACAGTATGCAAGCATGCGTGCTTGCCTCAAAAAATGTAAGGCGTCAACCCGTGCACGGTTCCAAAATGGCTGCTCCCTTGGTGCCTCCTCCTCCTCTTCCCAACTTCCACCAAAACCGGGGTGCGGACTCTGTTGTGTGCACGCATGCTGCATTTCACATTGGCAGGGTTTGGACTCGTTCTCTGTCCATCTGCACAAGCCTGCTGCGTCTGCCCTGCTCGCAAGACAACAACGTCCTCGGAAGCGCTGCCGAACTTGCCGTCGTCTGCTCTCTGCACGTTGGAACGTGCATCGCGGGTGTGTAATGAAGCATGCAGCGAGCTGCTCCGTGCGCGAAGCTTCCGGACGGATCCGAAGACACCGAATCTAGAATCCGGGCACCAGAGCGACAAAGGATCCAGCCACAAGGACTCCCCTTTGCCAGAGCCTCCGATCCTGGAAATGGGAAGCGGCAGCGTCCCTAGCAAGAAGTCCAGTCTCGGTCTGGGCACCTGATGTAGATTCCTCACCAACCAGGACCAAGGAACCTGTGGGCGAAGCGGCCTTCCCCTTCGATGGAAACCCTCGAACCAGGAAAGCTGCAAAACCAGACGATCCGCAGATTCACGGCCTGAGCTCATTCACAGATCTGATATCAACGTAGACGTCGGTTCGCGTGGGCCCTGAGGTCCGCGAACAGCAGCTGAAAGCATGAAAGCCGTCACAGACGCCGCAGAGGTAGTCCAAAGCACAGCGCTCAGAGCTCAGAAGAAGGATGAAGAAGGGGAAGCTATGGCAAGAGGGAGCCCAGAATCTAGCTTCCCTGACTAGTTCGGGCAGGGCGGCCTGCATGAGAAGAAAAACAGCTAGAGCGGTCGCATTCATGTCGGCTGCGGATGGCTGCGGTGGAATATTTAGCATATCCACCTGTGTGAGCCTGGCAGCAAGGAAAGTCCTGATGCTGCCGAGGCGTTGTCTCTTCCAAGGTTGGTCCCGAGGCTGAAATGAAGGGTTTATCAAAGGGTTTGAAATCTTGTGACAAAGCCAGTGGATGGAAGTTCCATGAACTTCCTGCTAGATGACAACAGACATCAGTGCATTCAGGACATCCGCGAGAACAAACTTGGTTTTTGTGATGTTGTCGCCACCTTTCGACCGTCCACACCCTTCGCATGTGGATTCCTCTCTTCACTGGCATCGCCAGTTTAATCGGCGTAATCGAAGCAGGGTTGCTCGGAAGAGGGAAGTCACATCAAATATGGCGACAAGACACATCATGTCGCTGTCCTACTCGTGCTTGTTCACTCCTCCAAGAGAGCGCACACTCTTGTCGTGTAGGTTTTTGCCTTTGTCAAAACCAGGGATCTCTCGTTTTCTCTCATTCTTTCAAATCTTTCTGATGGGCATGAAGTCCGTGCTAGTGAACCCCCGCGGCGTAAAACCGACTGAAAGCATGTGAAACTCACTCGGCTCCACTCGAAGGGACACTAAACACAACAGCTGTGGTCAGAATTCCGACTGCTCTACCGTGCAATCCACCGACCTGGTGGCAAAATACGGAAAGATCCTGCATGATGCAAGTGTACGCATCATACTACTAAGGCACGCCCTCACATCGACTATGTTTCTCTCCCGGCGTTATGGTCACATAGCCGCTTTGAAACGCAACTTGGTCCACTGAAAGCTAGTGACAGCTAGTGAAGCTAGTGATGCCTCCGTTTGGTATCGTTTGGTCTGGTTCAGAGCATTGTTCTGCCCCGCAGGCCAGGGCAAGAAGTTCGAAACTGCTTGAACGAGCAGCAGACAGCCCTCCCTCGCTGCTCCCTTCAACCCGCTTTTGTCAGTGTACCAGACGTTAGCCCTAGCCCGCCCCATTAGCAAAGAGCTCAAATGACGGCCATGGTGCTCTGGAAGCCAGGCAGACTGGAAGCTAAAGAAGGACACGAAGGAGCTGATGTAGCTGACCTCTGCACGTGGGAAGCCCTCTCACGTGGTCTACTGTAGGAATGCTGGTGGCTCGTGGTGCCCCACTGCATAAGTCGATGATCCGTTCTTGACGGGCTACGTGTGTTCTTCCAGGATCGAGTAGTTCGAAACTCCGGAACGCAAGCTTAAGGATGAACTGAACTCCATCTGCAGGCGACTGTTGGACACCGAACCTCTGCTGGGCCTTTGAAGTGGCGGGAACATGCGAAAACTCGTCGAAACCAATCTGATCGTCCCAGGCTGCAACGTTCCGTCGTATCCATTGACCAACAGTTGCTGATACCTTGGACGCTGCGACTCAGAATCAGAGCTTGCAAAACATTAACATACACCTGGAGAAACAGTAAGTCAGTAAGCAAGCATGCGACACAGCCTGTTACGAAGACAAGCTGAATGAGAGAGGTTGCTGCTTGATATACAGCATCTGCTGTTGGATGGACAGAGCCGAGCCATTTAATGCCGGGTCCTGTAACACGGCTGAGCAGAACGCGGCAGCATTGACATGCTGTCCCATTGTGAAGAAAGTCTTGACAACGGACACGGGAGGAAATGCACCAGTCCTCTGCAAAAGCTCCGGGAGCCTCCCACTTGTTTGAATTTCTGGCAGGCTGAAAAAAATGCTCTGCCGGCACACAGCGGCAGCGACATAGTTCCAAATCTGAATTGGAGAGCTCAAGTGGGTCGGCCCTGGATGCCCCAAAATCGACACCAAACGGAAAAAAATGTGTCAAGCTTGCGAGGCCACTGCCATGCTGGACGGCCTGCTGGAACCCTTGCCCTTGGCCATCTCCGCTTGGTGCCGCGTGCGGCACCTCCAGGATTGATGCCTGCTCAGGTGAGGAAGAAAGTCGCCCCCCGAGGCCGCGTCCAAGACCCCGACAATTGCAGGCTTGCAGTCATGGACATGTACACGTGACGATCAAACTGACTTGTCCTGCGGCGTCCCCAAAGGCAGCAAAGGCACCTCTGCAAGAACTCTGCGATCACATGGTGCAGGATGCGGGCTCATACTAGCTGGGCTGGTCGCCGAATTCGAGGCACTGGGTGCACTCAGTGGCACCTGCAGAGGTGTCTGCAGATGGTTTCACACTTCGAAGAGAACGTGTCACGACGAGCCGCGACGGCCGCGAGAAGGCTGGGCTCAGCGGGCATCGCGCTTTGAGCCTTGCGAGAGCAGCTCAGCACGTACTGAGGCTCAGCTCTGGGCCACTGGGCGGCCCCCACGGCATCCGCGGATTCCGGCCAAAGGCTCGGAGCCACGGAGGAGGCGCCGGAGGCGAAGCCATGCACTGCCTGCGGTCCCGCTGCAGCGCATGTCAGGCAGTGCCTGCGATTCTGGCATTGCCTTGTCGGGCGACGGCACAAGGCCTGCGCCTGGCTGCACTAAGATCGGTACCATCTCGGATCAACTGGCCACGCTACTGCTCCAGCGACATGGTGCTGATTGCTCGTGTCACAAAAAGCCTACAGAACTTTCAACAGCAGACCCCAGCTTTCGTGCACAAAGGTTTGCGGAGTCGGTCAAGGGCATTCAGGCTTTCGCGAATATAGGTGCGTGCTGAGTAAAAACTCCGATCGGAGCCATGTTCAGGGTACAGCTTACAGAAGATGACTCACCCACCCATCCCCGCCACACACACACACACACAGACAGAGAGTAACTAACGGGTTCAAGCACACGACCAAAATCTCTAATACCCTCCTGTATCCGAGACTGTTTCGAGTCAGAAATGGGTGCAGGGCAGAAAACTGCTAAGGCAACGAGATTCGGCATGAGTCCGATGCTCCTGGAGGCCTCGAGATGGCGGGAGAATCTAGGAAAATTCAATGATTGCGAGATCAGCCTTCAGACAGCCCAAGATTTGGCGCTGGAGACCCGGAGTCCGGAGGAAGTGACTCAGCGGAGGTCTCCTGCACGCTTCAATCAGAATCGAAACCATTTCCCAGCTTCAGCTCTTTAAGCATTCCGCCTCGGATTTGCTCGAAAGTCATGCAATAATCCCTCCAGTTTGGAGCTCTGGGCCCTAAAAGGACGGGCTCTACTCGGGAAGCCGAGCCCAAGCCGCCCAAGCACCCCTGCAGCTGTACAATCACGTCTCAAATCGCTCTCAGCAAGACCCCCGACTCCCGAAGCTCCAAAAGTTAGGGATCGAAGCAGGCAAACTGGGCAAAAATGGGCGAACCAACTTTGTCGAACTAGCCTGCTCTCTCACCTTCAAGAGTGCGGCACCGATGGCATCATGTGCTGATTTTGCCTGCAATCCACGCGCAGGACAGGAGATCAGTGCGAAAGGAACAAACAACAGTTTGCAGCCTGCACTGTCTGAACCTGGGAGGGGCCATTGCACAACCGCTGACTTCCAGGGTCCTCCTAAGCTCCCTTGCATTGAGCCGCTGACCCGCGATTTGACAGCTGATAGCTTGTGCTTCAGCTGGTCAAGTCCAACCTCGGATAGGCCCCTTGACTTTTGTCCATTCTATATGTCCCTCTATCCTTCTATCATAATATCGCAGCTACGACCAATCCAATCGTTCATTTAATCTACACCTCAACACCCTCACTGGACGGTTCACAGCCTATGACAAAGGATCCCGCGCTTCAAGTACAGGGTTACACTGAAAATATCTATGGTGTCTTGTCGTCTTCTTGCTTACCCAGAAAAAACCAGCACAATGCACCCATTGTACCTCCTCAGCCTACATGCACGGATCGCACGTAGATGTTGATGCTGCATATACATGTTTACTCAGCTCTTCAGCATCTGGCGGACTCACGCGACTCACCAGCAGCATGCCTTTCCTAGCCATAGCACACTCACGCTTCTAAGAAACGCCACGCAAGAATAGCATAAAGCCTCTGCCAGCTTGATTTGTCGTTCCAGCAGCTGTACCTGACCACGGAAGGAGCATACCAGTCCAGCTAGTTGCAAGCTCAGAGAACCTTGAATATGTAGCAGAAACCACCATCCGGCCTCCAGCACGTCTAGAGCATCCATGGCTACCGCGCTTTTTGCGAGCTGTCTCCATCGCCCGCATGCATGATTGGAAACTACGACATCTACTTGCCAGATGTTGCTCTCGCTGCGATGTCTATGATCGAACGGAAAGTCCTGTTGTGGTTTTCCATGAGCGGATCAGAAGCAGAGTGGGCAAGGTGGCTTCTGACAATCACCCGAGAAGCATGCATGATCGATAGCAGTTCTGTGAGCCCATCAGTCCATGTGTCACACAAGCCAACTACACTCCAACTCACGGTGATTTACATGCACTGTCCCCGTCGCAGGCTGCAGCATTTTAGACCAACGCTTGCCGAAGGCAGGTAGACGAAGCTTCTTGCCACGCGACTGTACAGCTCGCATTCTGGCACATGGCTGGCCTCTTGATCTGATTTGGCACCTCACGCGCGCAAGAGGGCCCGAGCATTGAGACCTGTCACTACGGGTTCTTTCACGTAATCGGAGAGGCAGCCGAATTCGTCCACAAAGCTGCGCAGTTTCGCTTTGCGAGGACGTTAGCAATTTGTCGGTGGAAGATTGCTTGACGCGCAAGCCTTGGCACCTACTACGGGCCTGCCAACCTGGCAATGCCTGACATACAGTGTTGTTCACTGCTTTGTTCGGTTCCGCTTCGAGGTCGGCGTGACACGACAGCTGAGACCGCTTCACCGTCTGGCCTGGTCACGCATCCAGGAAGAGGCATAGGAACACAAATCCTCAGAGCGCTGATCGAAGCCCTTTCAAGCTGGCACGGACCTCTGTACATGCTTGTGTGACATGTTGCTCGTCCGCGGCTTGCTGTACACTGTTCAAGCTCAGAGCTGGGCAGGACCGTATGTTCACCAGCAACAGATTGCCGGCCACCTCAAGAAATGATCTGAAGACACGTGTCTGCCTACTTGTATGCACATCTCTTGTGCGAGCCTTCGCTTCCTTTATTGATATAGAGAGGCCGCCCTCGATTTCTCGAAGCGATCGCGTGGGAAACTGGCACCAGCTTCACGCACGTCCAACGCGGAGAGCACCCAGGCTTGCAAGCACCACTAGCCTGTGTTGCCAAGTCCACCTTTTCAGTCGGCTTGTCTGTCAAAGCGGCTGCGACCACGAACTTAGTGCGAGCTGTTCGCACCAGTGCCACGCTTCATGACTCCACCTCTGCTCACTCGGAATGCTTAGATGTCCACCATCTGTTCTAGAGTATCGTCGGGCCGGAATCGTCTAGCAACTCGCTGACCGGAAGGTAGACGAAGAGAGACCTGCCGGAAGTTGAGCAGAAATACAACCGCCCAGACATGTCCCGGCTACCACTTGCGTTGGACTCCCCCGCCGGCTGCCAACCCCCTGGGATTGATTCGTACCCTGTGAAAAGCATAAGCATCAGCATGGCACGGCCAAAAAGCGCCCATGGAGTCAGCATCATGAGGCGTGAGATGTCGTGAGCGGTTCAGGACACCAAGGCGGGAACGTCGGAAAGACCAGGCCAGGCCCGATGCTCTTCTCATGCCGGTCTTTTGGAAAAAACCAGCAGAGGGGGCGCGAAAACAGGGCTGGGTCGAACGGATTGTCATCATTTTTTATGATGCTTGCTAATTGGATATACTCGGATGGGGCAAGTGCGGGGGGAACTTCAGGCCGTTAATTCGGGCAGCGTGCTGTGCTGCCGGAGCGACACTTGCATCGAACGATGCCGGTCATGCGAAATTGAGCTCACGACGCGGGCTTCCTGCAGTTTCCGTGTCTTTGTCAGGACGTTCATGATGCCTCCACTTGGATGGGGACAGGGATGTCAGTCACGGGGTACACGAGGATGGAGCCTTCATTGGTTGCCAACATCGAGCTCCAGCTCCCAAATGCTCGCCCTAAATGATGCTCATGGGCGCTCTTCTCTCGCTCTTGAAGACATCGATGCTGCAGAATTCGCTTGTTGCAACGCAGTGCCTTCTCTACACTGCACACGAGGCCGACGTCACACCTGTAAGCGCGTCTCAAGGTTCGACCGCCCACGAGCCCCCTATGATGCTTATTCCTGTGGACGACAAATGAAACCAAACTTGTCGCCGACTTTTGCCCGAACTTCGCTTTGCTCGGTCGGGTGTGGTTTTCAATTTTCCCCGATCGGCAAGTTAGAACCAAATTCGCTTGATAGAAGGATTTCCGTTCATCCTACAGCTTGCGCTGAGGGTTTGACGGGTTTCGAGCTGCTTCGACGGGGATTACCCGCCTGTCGGAGCCAACAAGGGCAAGTCATCCACCAACCCAGCGTCTCACCGAAGAGCCACAAATTAGATTGAGCCAAAGTCAGAACCCGCCCGTTCTTGGGTGGGTGGGCGGGCTGTGTGGCTGCGTGGCTGCGTGGCTGCGTGGCTGGGTGGCTGGGGGCCGGGGGCTGAGGCTGGGTGGCTTACCGCCCCGTACTAGCCGGTGTGCAAAGTTTAGTTTCCTAACCCAGGCCCTGGTACTGCAGAGCCTGTGGACCAGAGTTGATTAAACATCAGCGTTGGAGTGGGTCGAAATCTCAGTTGGAACAGCAAGCTGAGTCGTAGTGGTTCTTTCGTATTAGCGGGCGATTAAGGCTTCATCAGTTCTGAAGGGACTCGAAACCCACAAAAAGTCGAAATCTGAGACAGCAAAGTTGGATCAGCGGACGATTAACAAATGCAGCAGTCTCGTCAGGCCTTGAAATCTCTGAGTTTGGTTGTTTGGTTTAACCAACTGGGTCGCAGCCTAGACGTCGTCGTTGTTGTTGCTGTTGCTGCTGCTGCAACTGCCACAAAGAGAAGCGGTAATGGAAAGGCAGCACAGGCCTCAGAAGTTTGGAGCTGTTGGTTGTTGCGCTGGGTTCCTCTTGCTTTTCTGTGCCGGGGGGTCCCATCGCCTCCCCCTCTCCCAACGCGAGGCATTTCCAAGGACGTTGTTGGCTATCAGTTCTGTGGTCACAATGTTCTCTTGTGTTTGCCTGCGGTTTGCCAAGACGCGACAGTTGCAGGATCCGACAGGCAAGGATGGAAATTGCTATGATGCGAGAGACGAAGAAATGTAAGTTTTCGAGATGGACAGCTCGTGGGATTGCAAGAAGGCAGCGGATGCCTGAGCCTCCAGTGACTCTAGTATCCATGACGCTCAACATCCTACATGATTCCTACATGCATAGCCAAGACTGACAGGCTGCCTTGAGATGCTCAACACCCTCAGCCGGCTCTTCTGGCAGCACCGGCACAGGCTCCTTTTGCGAACATGGCATTTCTGCCCGATTCTGTGGAGCTGCTACTGACGGAGAGCGTGCACAGACCTCCTTTGCTTCCACTCCCTCCACCTGCACATATAGTGCTGAATCTCCAAAAAGTACCGATGCACTCAGAGCGCACTGAATCACTGAAGGCCTCCATGTCATCCAAGCCATGGAGCCGAATCTGGGAAGGATCGGGAGGTGATGCCTGGCCAGAACAGCCGACGCTGCAGTCAGGTGGCCTTCCGTGCCTTACATGCAAGCTTGCCTTCGGATGCATGACAGGACTTGCTGTTGGTGACATGGATGGCGGTGACCTGCCGAAACGATGTGCTAGGAGACCAACTGTACGCAAGCACAAACTCTTCGCGGTTAAGATGACAACCTGGACATGGAGAATTGGTCCAAGAACCCGAACAAATACCTGGTGCATCCACCATAGCAAGCATCACATGGGCAAGCAAAGATATCGTTCGCAAGGTTGTCGGGGCACTCCGCTGCGGCATGGGATTCGACCCATTTGCGGCCATCCCAGTTCTTCGGCAGAGAACTTCCGACTGTCTAGGAAACCTTTGCAATGTTACCGGCAAGGGGCTCCCACCCACCTCCCAAGCCTTTTCACTCATGCACAACACTGTATCCCAACCCGCATGTAGGTGCAGCTGCAAATAGCATGCCAGCTTCTTCCAAAACGAAAACAATCTTGCCCCGTGCTCCTTGACACGTCTGCCCGTGCGAGGGTCAATGACGCAGATGTGCGGCAGCTGGTGCCTGCCACCAAAACTCGCGGCTTCAGCAGATGACGCACTCGCCACTTCCGCTGACCCGCACTGGTGATAGTGGCAGAACTGGTCACCCTCAGCCGATTTGTCATCCCGCTGCCTTGCGTTTGCGAGGAACTGCTTCTGCTGGAAAATTACTCGTAAACTTTCTTCAGCAGCATTCTCAGAGTCGTACCAAAACAGGAAGGAACCCGTGATGATGTCTTTGATAGTGTCATCGCTCCACACCTAAAGCTGGAAAGCATTGTGCAGATGTGTGGCTCAAGGCTGCGGGCATATTGTTATGGAGGGGCGGCCGCATGGAAAATGCCATTGGTTTTGCTGCCTTAATCATCTGCTCTTGCTAGAGCTGTAATGGCTGTGTTTACACGAACCAAAGCTGTCGCAAAGTTACCATTATTTGCTATCCATTACTTGTCACCATAAATGCTGCCCCGGGCCCCCAAGTACTGGCGGGATTCACAACTTTAGGGCAAAAATCCATGCTGCCACGGTGCCCTCAGACTGCTGTTGAAACCAAGCGTGGGGGCCAACGTGTTGCAATTTACAACGGATCGCACTTACCGGAGGATGCTGGCACATCCGGCCAGCGTCCACCAAGAGTTACCAATTCGGAACACGAATCGGTATGGATTCACGAGCGTAACGCAATTTCGCGTGACCAATAACGCAGGAGGAGATGATCTCCAAATCCGAAGACAAACTCGGACAATTCGTCAAGGCACTTCATGCGCCGCGGCACGATTCGCAGCGTCTCCGGATATAGCCCTGCCCCATGCATTGCAAGATACTTATCTAAGCACTGTAGGTTACAAAACTGATGAAGAGGCAACCTCACCTCACATCATGCGGTTGAGCCTCACGACAACCTAACAGACAACCTCGCATCAACATCAGTATCAACATTATCATAATCACCATCATCTGCAGCATCATCATCAGCGTCATCATCATACCATGCCTCGAAAAAACCTTCGCCATGCTTGCAGGAATAAGAACACATCTTGACTGTTGAAATTTGAGCCGGCAAAGCCAGGAAAACTCCGACGACCTCTGAGGAAGCGTGCATCCCGGTTCAGCGTGTGAGAGGCAAACACCTCTGCCTGCTGGATATTGACCTCAGAAACAAGCGCTTGAAATCATGCACGTGCACTACGCTTACTTTTCTGTTGCTTAAAAGCCTTAACCTTCGTCATCCGTACTGCGCCAGTCTTCGACACACAGTGTTCTCTTTTTCAACTCAGCCAAAGGGCAGGCAGGCAAGCCATGGCAAGCCCACCCCCCCCCGGCACGCATGCACCCTGGCTCTCTCTCTGTCTCTCTCTCTACAGGGCGTGGCGGACGCAGCGGTCCAACTGCAACCGCCGTGCGAATTCGCGCACCTGCAGTTCGTTCGCGGGCAAGGGTTCCCCCGAGGAACTCTTCCACAGGAGCTTGGCTGTACGGGACCAGCCACAAGGGCAAGGCGACGATTCCCCTGGAAAGACAAAATCAAAACAATTTACCACGGTTGCCCTTCCATCGCCCGCCTCGTCCTTCCTTTTCTTCCCGCGCAGACCCGCGAAGCGCCCCCTACCTAATCCTCCCTACACGGTACATTAGGGAAGAAGCTTTGGGGCCATTGGAGCGGCTTTAGCCGCCGCGGCTTGTTCGTGTTAGAAAGGTTGGTTGCTGCGGGAGCCCCGTAAACCCCGAACTTTATTCCAACCCTCATCCCCGCGCCCTCTAGGGCTAGATCCTTAGCTCCTGCAGCAATTATTCCCCCCTTGTGGCGCACTACGGCGAGCTAATTGTTCCCCCCGTGAGCAACAACAACACTAAGAACCGGGCTAGAGTTTACAGTGTTCACTGGGGCTATAACTGTTGGGGGTCCATCGTTTTGAAGCAACACCAGAACAAGGACACTTGCAGATCACGAAGACTGGTGGCTCCCCCTGCCGGCTCAGCCGTAAGTATCAACACGAAAATGCCATTACTCATGGGGTTGTTTTGGTGTTTCCACACTTCGGAAAGCAACGCACAGCAACAATGAAACATGCTGGTCACAAGGACCTGTGGTTTCCCCATCCGAGTTGAAAGCAACAGGTCTAAAGTCCCCCCCCTTCCTTGTGTTTCCTCAAAACACCACGGTCATGTGCACCGGAAGGAGGGTTAAGCTGCTTCGAGTTTTCCCCTGTCAAGCTCAGAACGAATTAATGGCACAAGCCGTGTTTGGAAAGCCCAACGTCCGGCAAGAATGCAACGAAAGAGGGGGGCATGTGGCTCCCCCGGCAGTATCTGGTGGTGTTTGGCTCTGCGGCCCATCAGAATTAGGCTTGATTTTGCAAGCGGGATCTGGGGAACTGTCTAGGAGTCTAGGAAAGTAGATGCAGGACCTGTGGAAACAGCCGGCATGAAACACGACAACTAGACCAAGGTAAACACTGTCCTAATGCATCGCTCGCACGCTCCTCACTTCACAGTTCCTAACCCTCCATCCGGGGCTTGACTGCAGGTTTACTTCTTTGGGGCTGCGACTTGGCATCTTCGGCCGCTGAGTTCCCGAGCTTGAGTTAGCCCGGTCAGATGGGCGTCCCAACTCCCCCCCCGGCCAGTGGGCATCCGTGGTTGCCGTGGAAAGCGCGGTGCCGGTTTCCCCTGGAGCTGGGTAGCGTCGCGCCCCTCATGGCCAGTGTCAGCTTCACCGCTGTTGCTTCCCCAGTCCACTTCTGCTGCCAAGTCGTGTAGGTTGGCTGCACGTGGTCCTGGTTTGGCGGTGGCTTCTTGGGTTCCCCTGCCTGTCTGCTCTGAGCGGCTGGGTGTGTTCCTGTCCTCGGCGTGGTTCGCTGGCTCCCTCTCAGCTTGTCAGCACTCCTGGCCGTGCCGCGTCTTTCATTATGCCTCTGGACATAGCAGTTGTAGTCTTTGGTGTCGTCTTTGGTGTCTTCCTCATTCAGCGGCTTTCTTTCCTTCGCCAGGGTTAGGGTCGGCTCTCTCTGTTTGCTTTTCTCTCTGCTTTGCTTGGGGCAAAAGCCGAGGGCAGTCTCACACGGGCCTCGCCCATCGACACCAGAGCCTCGGCGCTGGCCTCGATGCCGCTTTCAAGGCTCTCCAAATGGAGAGGATCGATGCCCTCCTCCTCGGCTTGGGCAATCTCGTCAGCCAAGTTCTCAACCTCGGTCTGAACGACCTCCTCTAAGGTCCGGTCGTCCGGGCGTCTGGTCCTCATTCACATGCTCGGTCTCGGCGTCCGCTTCCTCCTCAAAGCCATCGCCCTCATCACCGGCCGCCGCTGTAGCATGAACTTGTCGGGGCGCGAACCGGCCCGAAGCCAGGCGACCCGATGAAGAAGGCACCGAAAAAGTCGAGGATCGGCGGCTTGCGATCGAACCACAATAGGCCGAAGAAGCGGAAGTCGAGGAAGGAGCTTGCCCAGACGAGGCGCCGCCGCCAAACAGCCGACGAACTGTCAACTTGCCACCTGCCCTTTCGGCCCGCCTATAAAGAGGGTCTTGCATATGCAAGTCTCGGATGGAGCAAACACTCAGCTTCAATCTGGCGGTAGGACTCAGATCCCGCCAAAGCCGTCTCGAGAAGTTGTTTTCGAAGGCCCTCCAGGCCCAGCTTCTGTTTGAAAAACCAGCCAACCTCAGTGACTCAGTGTGGGGTGGCATGACCCCTTCAGCCTTCAGATCGGCGACGGCCGTCCTGAACCTCGAGCTATAGTCCGAGACTCGCTCTCCAGGGCGTCGGCTCATGTTAATGTAGCACTGGGTCTGCAGCTTACCGTGCTTGTCAAGGGTGCTCTGGCCATTCATCGTCTCGAGGGCGGTCAGCAAAAGGTTAAGCCCTTTAAAAAAGGGGTCGGCCGCCTTAATCTCAAACCTCTCGCGTCGGTCTCTGGGTCCGTGGCATACTCAGCAGCACGCCGCGTTGGCGCACCACGCCAGATTGGCGCCAAAGCCATCTGGCAGCCAAGTTGTACTTCATCGTCGTCGCGGCGTCCAGGCTTGACTGGCTTGACATCCACCAGGACATTTCCCTGCGGAAGGTCCGCCATGGTCACCACTGCCCTTCTCGTCGGCCATCGAGTTCACAATGAAACGCCCTCCTACACCTCGGCAAGTGCCCGGGACCCACAGCCGCGCGTGGAGGTTGTCCCGAATCGGGTCATCGAGAAAGAAGAAGGGCTTGCAATCACCAAAGTGGAGTCAGCGCAGCGTCCCTGGCAAAACTCAGCGCTCCGGTGCCACTGTTGAAGCAACGACCGGCACGGATCATGCAAGGAACGAGCCCGGATCTATCACTCCTTTTGCGCGTAGCACACACCGGCTAAAGACCTTCGAGAAGAGAGTGCCGCGGGAGCAGGTGAAGAGGTCACGGCTGAGGGTCAACGCTGACATGCGAATGCATTAACAAAACTTCATACCGCAGTGACTCACGGTGTGCAGCGTCGCTGGGGCAGCCTGACACAGGCACCTGCCGAAGCGCAGATCCCCGCAGCAACGCATTCATCGTCAGATCATAATGTCTCGTCACATTGTCAGCGAAAGATCCGGTAATGCCTTCCAAACACAAGCCCGAACGGCTGCCGTTGCCGTGCCTTTTCGCTCGAGTGGAAAGGACGTTGGAAACGATTGAGCCCCGGAACACTCAGCAAAAGTGCCGGTGACATGCGCTTAACCTGTCATCGGCAAGCATCAACCGAGTTGGCTTAATAGAGCCTCCGAATTTCCAAGATTTGGTGTTGTTGGCTTCGAAAATATTCTCGTACATCTAGCCCGCTCGACGGTAGAAGATGATAACTGGGTCCCAAACCAGCACCCACTTGCCCTCACCTTTGGCCTAGGCATCAAGCTGGCAATTGCGCGTCTCGCATGACACACACACACACACACATATATTTTTGCATGCACTCAAGACAGGCCTTCTCGATTGTTTCGTAGTAGCTGCTCCCCTGCCCATCTTTGCCATGAACTCGCACTAGCCCGCAAACAGTGTGCTTCAAGTCAAGCTGCTTCGTTGTACTCCGGGGGCGCGAAAAGCTTGTTGATAGCCTGCAAATCGTGAAGCACTCGCAGGTCGAGGCAACTAGGTGGCAGCAAGTAACAAAAAGGCCCAAGCAGGATCGAACATGGTTGAGCTGCCTCTTAAGCTTGCCAAACAGCCCCAAGTGGTTCAACGAACATCTGCCAGCAGGTGCTTGTGCATCAGTGCCCTCACCCGTTCGGGGTTGATGTGGTAAAACCCCAGTTTGAAAGGCACTAGTCGTTAGATTGTCAAAAAGCAGTCGAGCCGCGGAAACAAAAGCATGCACTTTTCTGTCCGATGTCAGGCACATACTGCTCGCGACCATTTTTGGTTGTACAGCTGGTGCGGATATCTGCAGATGTTGTACTCATCGTCCGGTATTCTGCATTCTGCTTCCGGTCCGGCAGCCGTAGCTGACGAGCGCGAATACCGACGGAGCTTCTTTCCGACATCGGACAAAACAGCGTGCACTTCTGCTTCTGCTGCGCGACTGCATGTTGGCGATTGGAAACAGACTAGTGACTAGTGCCTTTCAAACGGTTCCGAGCTTTGATTGGCTGTGCTATGACTAGGCACGCAACGGACCCGCTGAAGCCTTGGCTCAAGCGGGACTGCTTGCGTTTCCGCTGTTTTGATTACCCGCCGCTTCCCCCCGTCTCCGCCAACTCTGCTTCTATCCCGGTCTGTCCCTGGACTCATGACAGGCCTTACAGCCGGTGCGGGTATCTGCAGCTGTTGTACTCTGCATGCGGTATTCTGCTTCCGGTCCGGCAACCGTAGTGGAACAGGGCGAGTACCGTCCGGAGCTCTGTTCCGACCACAGCCGTGGCAGATAAGAGAATAAGTTAAGCAGCATTTTCATACATCGGGACACAGGAAGCCGTCGAAAGACGAAGGTGCACGGACAAGCGACAGAGCTGGGGTCAACGGAAAAGATGCCCAACCTATAGTGACTTCATCCTGCAGAGCAAGGCCGCGCATCCGCGGCATCAGTGAGCACCCGGGACGTGATCTACGTAGACAGACATCCTCTGCTGATGCTGCGCAAGTATCCAGGAGCCTGCACGAAAGGCCCCAGAATAGGGCAGCGGACACGGACAAACCTGGGACGTGACATCGTGCGGAAGGAAACAACCCAAGAAGGGAGCGAAGACCAGGCCGGCTTCTGCTGATGCAGCGCTTCCCGGTTTCCCCGTCAGTGTTTAGTGAACGCCGCAGCGCAACAGTTGGCAAAGTCGACTGACCCGACACCGGCGCTCGGAGCATCCAAGACCCTGTTTAAGCCATTTTAAGCCATTGGTCGGCTTCTGGATATGTGTCCTATAGACAATCATGCTCTTCGACGATCAGCGGACCTGATCCCAGGATGGCTCGGCAACCGGCTCTCCCGGCTCGGGTTCGGCGGCAAGCTCTTCTTAGGACAAGCGCTGCCAGGCTCACGACTGATCCAGCACGGCCCTGGAAACTCCGGCACCGGCAGTCCGCGTCGCGAGCGCCCACGCCTTTCACACCAGCAGCAGTCTCGGCCCATCAACCCGGCAGGCCAAGCAGTCCTCCAGCCGAAAACGAGAAAAGGTGTCTGGAGCGTCAGGCCGCGAGGGCACGAGGCAATCGCAACCGCGTCTTGGCCGAAGCTGTGGTCGAGGGCAGCACGCTGTTCGAGGGTCGGAGCAAAGCAGGAGGGGGCAAAGGCTGTCCCCTCCTCACCGTGACCAGTTCCATCGGAAGGGCATGAGGTTGCATGGGGCTGCTTTCCAGAGCTGCCAGTCGAAATACCGATGACTATTTAGGCAGCACTCAGGGTCAGCGGAGCACCCGACCAAGTCCCCCTTCGGTGCCAGCGCAACACGAACACGATGTCCAGCCCCAAAGAGCACCATGATGCTCGTGATGATGCTTCTTACGTGGGGTCCACAAAGGGGTCCACATGCTGCTCAACGTAGCAGGATACGTTGCTTGTGATGGGGTCCATTCTCGACACGACTTTTGGGGTCGGCTTCCTGCTCCATCCTGGCATTGCCAGCATTTGGCATGACGTTTTTCGTTCGACATTTGTGTTCCTCTCTGAAGCCACGCGCCTGCATCAATATATCTGATCTTGCCGAATTAACAAGTATAGAAGACTGCATGTAGACTCAGGAGAAAGGTCAAAAAGCTACAGATGTGTGCGTTGCTCTGACATGCAAGAATCTGCAAGAACTTGTGATGCAATGAGTCGGATCATGCTGGCTGCTACTCGACGCCTTGCCCTCTCCCATTTGCTCATCCTCCTGCTCTTCACCGGTTCCGGAACCAGCCTGTGGAGAACTCTGCACAACTCTTGCACTTCACTTCGACACAGGATCAGGTGAAGCCGAGGAACCCCTGCCGGATCGCCACCGCGATCAAACGACATCCGCCGAAACATTGCAGCGGAGTCGGCGGCCATCTGCTCCTACAAGACAGGAGCAACACAGCACTGCAAGACGAAGTGCCTTGGGCCTTTGCCTGCATCCTCCGATGCTCAAGATCAGGATTTATGATCTGGTCCTGCATCACGGAGCAAGGCCTGGGCCTACATCTGTCAAAACTGCAGCAAACACGAAGACGATCCTGGTACGCAGGCATTGGTGCTCGGACTTCCTCCTCGCCGGCCTTACAAAACTGCAAGAGTAGAGGAACCGCTATGGGAGGGTTGCTCGATTGTTGTTCTAGGTGTCATGCCATGTGTGCATCTTGCAAAGGGCCTGCCAAAACGACTTCGACACAAACAGACAATGTCCAGCATCCGTTTCCAAATATGCATCTCTTGTATGGGGTTGTTCAATTTGTGATCGTGACGGCTTACCAGCCTTTGCCTAGGTCCCACCGCCCTCGCCCTCAGATCAGATCAAACTAAAAGTCTTGTGCTAAGTTGTCGCTTGACTATGCTAATTTCAAAGGATGCCCAGCTTCCAACTCATCCCAGCAGGTCTTCCATGTCCTTCCAAGACTGAGACCCGCAACTTCACCATTTCTCAAATCCTTCCGCCATGCCGCCCCCGGCCCGCACGGGCTGCAGAGGTGCAGACCGATGCCACCCGCATCCGCCAGCGCTCCGCTTTGCGTCGAACAATGCTACAGGTGTAGTCCCAAGCCGGGACGATCGGCAACTCACCAGGCTAAACGGACGGAATGTAAGGCACTTTGCTCTCTCAAGAAGATGTTTGTGACCTTGCAACTTTCTTGTGTCTGACTCTGGCATCCCCCGATGCCCTCGTCTACCGACATGCAGCAGCCCCTGTCTCGCAAGAGGCTCGATTTTGTGGCCAAGGGCGTGCCTTTGAAGGTGTTTTGTGCTGACATCTCCTTTGAACATAGGCATCTCTTTTGTCAAGGCTGAGCTCTGCTTCCCGATGCCCCTCCCCGTCCACCGCCGCCTTAGCGGCCTTGACCTTAGCCTTACTTACATGCGGAGCCATTCTTCGCTCAGAGGCTACCCGAGGACACTCTCATAACGGCCTGTATCTATACCAGCCGCAGCCGCGGCCGCTGCTACTTCAGCAGCCACGTCAGCATCGATAACCGGTTGGTTTGCCTCGGCAGAGGCATCAAGGATGCACCAACAATGACGTCAGTTAGAGTCTTGGTGTGATACAGCAGGAGCTGCGGGAGCTGCAGGAGACGGAGAGGGCCCGAGTGCCTGGAAAATCTCCGTGAGGTTGTCAGCCAGAGCTACTGCAACCGAAGCAGCTAAAGCATGCCGGGACTTCGGGCGACGAACTTCCTCCGCCCATCTCGAAGAACAAGCCTAGGGCCTTCAGCGCGAAACTCCCAACTCGGCACCAATACGCACAGGGGTCCCCGCATGCTGAAGCACTCAAGAAACCTTTACAGCAGCATGCCTGCTGCAAGTTTCCACCGGCCATCTCGAGATAACCTTTTGCCTCAACACTCGTATGCAACATGTGGGAACCGTACTGGTGAAAATAGCCGCTAAACAGCCTCGTCATCGCTTGCAGAAGTCAAGGATATGAACTCTGCAACAGACTCATCAGTTACCATCCTGCGCAGAAGCCACTGGCCGATCAGGAAGCGGTCCGTAACTTCCAAATGCTGTTTCTGCCTCGCAGTCGCTCCCTCGCAGTCACACAGTTTTCCATGTCTGGCTTGAGCCAACGCTTCAGTGTTCCTGGAAGCGTGTTTCAGCAATTCGAACCAGATCTCCGACAGATCAACTGAAGATCGCTGCACAGCCACACGCCCTCCAAACAGGGCAAAGCAGACAATGAGTTGAGTAACCTTGCCGGACAGACTTCTATGCGGCGAGATTGAAGAAGCTGAGCAGCTTGCATGATGACAGACTTATCTCGTGCAGTCCTGGTCGAGCCGTGGTGTGAGGCCGCTCCGCACAACGCAACAGCTAAGACTTCTTTCTCATCCATCTCCGTGTCTTTATCGACGTTTCTGGTTTCTGATTCTGGTGAAGCTGTGACGAAAAGACCATAAATCTCCTGCCTGACTTGTGTGCCATGAGACCAGGAACAGCACCGTTTCCAGACTTCTGTGTGTGCGAAAGGGGTTGCAAAATATTCACGGTGAGTAGATTCAGGGGTGCTGCAGAACTTGACAAGGAGTGGGTTCAAGAGTTTGCTCCCATTACGGGAAACTGGCAGCAGCCGAACAGTGACGGTTAGCGTTAGAGCGACAAGGATTGCTGTGGGACTGCTTCCGAGAGATGCACAAGGCAATCTCGCCACGAGACTGAGTACAGGCTTCCGTGTGGATAGGAGCATGTAGTCTTGCCTACTACTTAGCTAGAGGCTTTGAGGAACAACCCGATCGAGACAGTCCATCAACCGCTAATCTTAAACGATGATGGTGTCATTTTGGACCAAGCACCGCCTTCCCAAGCTGGGGCATCTTTTCCGAATCAGCACGTACAGAAAGTTGATGCTGTCTTTCCCACGGCCAACTTACTCTGCCACATTTGTAGCAAAGTTGTCGTCACCCCACTATGCACCGCACTGCATTGCGGGCACTTGTCTCTGAGCAGAGCGAATAGCTGACGACCTGGAGAGCCATCTTCGACGTTACACGCGGAGCGCATGTGCACGGCACCACTTTGCACGTTAGAGCAACGAACTTTTTTCATTCCTCACACGTACCAGATGCGGACCTTGGTGAGTCTGCGCACGATCTTCCCATTGTCTGTCTTGGAGTTTGGCTTCAACTGCTGAGATCTCAGCCCTTTGGGTCATGATGGGGCAATCACCTCAGGGTTCGTTTGCAGGCACATGCTCTCCAGCATCTGAAAAGTTTTTAAGCTGAGATGGCAACCATCCAGAAATGTCGTTTCGATAATCACGTTTCCAGACCTAGTATGCTCAACTGCACAACTTGTGTCGGAATGACAGCTCTGGATCTGACTGAAGGAGTCCAGTCCAGGGGCTGCCTCTGTCTGTGTCTTCTGAGCACCCCTCTCTCTGGCCCCGGAGGCGGCGGCACGCTGAGCATGCGACAGGAGTTCTGCCGGGAGCATCTCCTCCTCCTCTGCAGCCTGGCCGGAGAGCAATATCAACGTTTGCACGACGCGGAGACCATGAAAACTGCAAAGATGGACCTACTGCACATGAAGATGCTAGGCCTCTATGGTTTGCTGCCAGGTGTTCGTCGAGTTTGGGATCACGAAACCAAAATGAAAGTTCCACTCCTGGCCAACTGCACACATGCAATGCAACAGAGCGCAGCTTGATGGAATCCTCCAACGGTTCGCCCTTGAAAATAACCTCAGTGTCGACTCTTGTCGGACTCTAGGCAAACTTCAAAGCATGTCGAGCCCTTCTCTTCAAGCACCTGGCCGACTGCACCAATCTCAAGCTTGTCAGAACCTCCACAGAGGAGAAGTTGAGCTCGCGGGACACCTGGCGTGCTGCCACAGCGGCAGATCTTCATAAGATTGCTCTTTGCTTCACAAGCCGCCTGTCTGCAACTCAGAATTTCTCGAGGAACTTGAGCCTCTGGGTAGCGTAAGTGTTAAACAGCAGCATCAGCTGTAGCTGAGCCTATCATGCCAACTATGTGAACTTCAACACAAACGGCTTGACACCTGAGTCGTATTCTGCTGAATAAATTTCTGATAATCAGGCAGGCGGTCCTCCAGTTCGTCCAAACCGCAATCCCACTCGCCGCTTTCCCACATAACTGAACATGACAGGGCCAGGACAACAAAAACTGTGATACGTAAGCACAATCACAGCCTTGTCCAGTAAGGGCATCACGCATGTTCATCCAGTTGATTCGAAACCCCTGCCACACGGACGGGGTGGTCAAACTGCTCCGGCAACAGTCGAAATCTGCGCAGTAGCCTCTCGGATCGATTGCACATGACTGCCTGGATTTTCATCAAACGGACCAGCCAACACATACAAAAACACATGCAGCGTCAACTCCCGCAGGGCCAAGGAAGAAGAGTGCACACGTGAACACAATTCTGCGCAATCTGTGGGCGCCGCTGTCATCCATGGCCTTGTAGTTTGAAACTACACGGACTAAGCGAAAGGCGCCCCATGGGTTTTGAGAACGGATGGCTTGAAAAAACCAAAGTACATCGAAAATAAATCTTGCGACGGGAGGTTGGTCGTGCTTCTGAATTATTTGCACCCCTCTGCCAGATCTTTTGTGCATCGAAACGGAAGCGCCCCCATCGAAAGTGCATGTCGACAATCGATCCAATCGATCATTTCGCTTGGAACCTTTGCTTTCAACATAAGCCATGCCTCAGTCTTGGAAACCCGACGAATCTTCACATCATGAAACTAGCAAACTCGAACTCAACATGTCGGTCTGGTGTGAGTGGTAAGCCCCACATCGCAGCCAGGGTTTACACATTGCCGGGGTGCAAACTCGGCAAACTCCGACCCAGGGAACCCAAAACGGGATGCGCAACAAGTGTTGAGACATGCGAAAACAGTTGAAGAACAAAAGATACCTGCTGAGGCAATATCGGCCAAAGTGAGAGGTTGACAACTTGCCGAAGAATTAATCAAATTTTGAACTAGCACATGCAATGAACCCAAGTTGCATTTGTAGATTTCGTTAGATGTCACAAAGCTTGCGAATCGGCTCTGCTACGTGTCTCCTTCTCCGACAACATGACTGGTGGCATGGAAGTATCTACTTCTTGGCGGCCAAACACATTTCAAAAAAACGGCAAGATATTGACTTCCACATTCCAATTCGCTTGCTGCTTTTTACTGTTTTGTACTCTTCTCCAGTTTTCTCCATATTGGATCTGCTTTGTGTCTACGAATCAACATATCTTCGTTGTTCGCAGGTGCTGTGCCGATGACCGGTCATGACAAAACACTTTGCACAGACATCGCAAAATCCAAAAACAGGCACAAATCAAACAATTGATTAACATGGAACTCAACATGAAAGAAAGCGCATCACATGGTTTCAGCAAAGTAAAGAACAACAAAGACAGCTTCAGAACCATCGCGTTTCAGGCAGCCGGCTGCAGAAGACCAAAATCGTAAACCAATCATGCTTTGCTCTCGGTTTAGAGCAAGGTGCAACAGGAGCCAAAACTTGCCAGGAAGGCATCTTCAAAACTACACGTCGAACAGGTGCACAGTTGACAGGCTTCTTGGCATATTTGAAGCCAGGTGATCTCAAGCACGTAGCAGCTTTGTTGGCAGACGCACATCCACAAGTTTGAAAGAGCTTTCTGGTTGGGACGATTTCACACGAAAATGAGTTGACGTGAGAAGACAGAAGAAGACCTGAGATGTAGCACATCTGACAACAAAGTTGATCCGTGCAGTCTTAACGATTTTAACAAAGATTCGATGATGTTGACATTCCATGCAACTGCAACTTGCACAAAGTTACACAAGCGTACGTTCGAACCGGTCGTCTGTCTTAGCTGCGATGGACATCGAGATCGATCCGACAAAGACTCCTCTCAAACAGATGCAAATTGCTGCGATTTCTCATTGGTTTTAGGGCAAAGCGCAGAAGTAAAGTCATAAAGGTTGCTCAAACGACCGATCTCCGTTTAGAAAATGATCTAAAACGCTTTCAGAGTCCTCTGTTTGTCTCTGCGGAACCCAACATGGGATCCAGACCAAGAATAACCGGGACAGATGTGGATTGGCAAAGAAAATCATGCAGAAATTTCCACAAGTGCGACCAGAATGGACAAAATGCACTTCTTCGGGTGGAGCTTCGGGAGTCTTGTCTTCGAGGCAAAGCTTTTGTGGCCAATTTGAGTGTCTGGCTTCCGTCAAAGTGGCACATATGGTTCTAGAAAAAAAAACTATTCGAGGCAAAACTTTTTGGACAATGTTGAATGTCTGCATGGCACCTCAAATTCAAAGTAGCAGATGTGGTTCTGGAGACTTGTTTTCAAAGACACAGCTTGTTGTGGCAGTCTTTGGAGTCTGAGATTTTGGGTTTGGGGTTTAACGAGGCTTGTGTTTTGGGCTTTCGGGTTCGAGTTTATTTGGGAATCGCCTCCAAGTCAACATGCGCGGGTTCCATTTGGCCGAACAGCGCTTGATCTGTTGGCGCAGAGCATTGCAGCAAGTGCCGGTGGATTGGTCTGAAACGTCCCCTATGTTCCATCCTGGAGCAGTTGTCCGTAATGCTGCCAAGTGCTTCGTTTTGGATCTATTGCTGTTGAAGGCTGCGTAATACAATCACCAGTCAGAAACAAGATTTGTTGCACAACGTGTTCGCTCCTGCATCGGCACCGTTCATTGCTTGCTCCACTGAGCTTGTGGTGGCATCCATGTGTTATCTGGGCATGCTGCACGCAAAATCGCGAAACGTTTCGGCTTCGCAGTCCGTCTGTTGTTGCCACTACAAATCCGATGCAACATGTTGGTTCATACGGTATCCGACAGCTTGTCAACGAGCACAACGTCGTGGATAGATGTCATTTGGCAGAAACTACATACAGGCAGCTGATTGGCTTGAGCTAGTTCGTTTTTAACATTACTAATCCAAAGCATTCCCTCCGGCGTCGCCACTTCACATCTCGCGTCGTGAGGGCAATTGGTGATGCTGTCAATGGCATCTGACCTACATATCTGTTGCTTGCCAGCCTCGACAGGACCACTATGTTCACTTGGCACCGATTGTCAGCCTTATGCAGGAATGAGAGGGTTGTTGATCCAATGCTTCTACCGAGGCAGCAACAACGCTTGAAACTCCACTGCCATCGGCTTGTTCTTGGTTCGCAGCAGCAAACCTGTATCATGAGGCATTCAATTTGTCAGCTGTTGCCATCTGAGGTCTTTATCCCGACACGTTTGGGAGAGTCCTGGAATCAGATGTGCGGAGTTGGTCAGCATCCCAAGCTGCTTTTATGATTGACTTGATGTTGTGTCGGTACTTGTAAATCCAACATCAGCGCTATTTTCAGTGCCGAGCAAAATTTTGCCGGGGTTGCGATTCTCGGCGTTTGATTTGCTGTCATGGCCATGCTTCAGGCTGTCGCCAAGGGTGCTGCCAGAAAAGCCCTGACCAGCAGAAGACGAGCACTCGGTGTTCACTTCTTAGCAATCTCCCTTTGCTGAGGTAAGATTCACACGGTGATTGAACTATTATCATTGCGAAGATTTGAGAAGGTGCGAAGGTCAGCGAAAGTTTTCGCCTTTTCATCGATTTCGTGCACGCTTTGGTCCCTCCGAAGTCGTCGGAGGCTCGTTTGGAATTCAGTCCATCTGGCAGAGCTTCCGCATCTCAGCATGGTCTGTTTCAGGAATGAGTTCAGCGAACTGGACAGCCAGTTTTCGCGTCTTATCATGGCTTCCACTTGCCTGGCAGATCGACCTGTAGAACTGCAGCTTGCGCAGTTGAGACAGAGGCCAGTCGGTCCGAATATGAACAGATACACTCGGTTCTGGTGAAAGCAGTCTGACCCAGGATTTCAACTGACTGAAATGCTTGACTCACACAGGTTCAAGCAGACTTTATCTCATGCTGTTCAATGGCGCCACGTTGGGAGGATGCTGTGGAAGAGGCAAATTGTGTTGAGTGCAGTTGTGTGTTGCTTATGTAGTATTTGACAGAAGAGTTTGCGCGCTTGATACTGCCGCAGGTTGCAGCTGAAGTGCCGTCCTTTGCTGATGAAGGAAGTTTGTTAGTCGTTGTAGCTGGCTGCATTCCCAGTCCAGGCTGGAACTGGCTTCGAGGCTGCATTTGTCTTTGTTAGCGAACTGTACGCCCGGCCCTCAACCTTATCAGAATTTGGTCCGCTTGGAAACTGTGGGCGCAGTGGATGCATGCCCGTAAGAGAGGTCGATCAGGCTCAGGGCATGGCACCAGTGCCAGACCCTCAGAGATTCCAGAACATCCAGAGACACGTCCAGCTCTTCCATGCGGTGTCATCTTGCGAACTCGGAACGATGTCAAGACGTGTGAAGTGTCTAGACGTCTATCCGCCAGCCTCAACAAGTTATATACTATGTTCATGAGCCGTTGCTTATTCTTCCGTTGAGCGGCTGCACGGTCATGCCAGTGAGTGAACGTATGACAGGGCAGTCAGCTGCCGAGAGCTGGAACTCACAAGTTCTGTTGCAGTGCGTTTCGGGCAAGCAGTCATTGATGGTGCATGGGAATCTGAATTCGATGTGACGACATTCTCTGGCACAACTTACAATTATTCTGGCACACCTCACCATACGAATATGTAATTTCCATGGCTTCTTGTAGCAGCTTGGCGTGGCCTGGCCTTGGCCAAGGCTGGAAGCAGTCCAACAAAGGCGAGACTCCTGCGTGTACCACTGCAAGCAGTTTTGATGTGGGTGTAGTTATGCTCATGGCTGCAGGCTGGACGTGGAACATGTAGTCCGCATCTTTGCTTTCAACTTCGGTGTTCCGAAAGCTGCAAAAACTCGAGATTTGTTCAGGTTGGCGGTGCATGTGCAGGCGCCATTGGCCAAACAACAGGCAGTTGGTGCGGCAGATGATAGGTCTGATAGGTTGAACAGGACATGCAGCATGTCAGGTGAGATGGCTTCGGCCAGGATCTTGAGCTCCAGGGCCGTGACAGCGCCTCGTTTTGGATGTGTACTTGTTTGATCCTGAGGAATATGCTGGAGGCCATCGGCAACCCTGCGAGGCAGCTTGTGCAGGACTCAGGACTTGTGATGGGGATCTCGTTGTTTCAGGTTGAGGCTGGCTTTGTGCTATCCGTTGCGGTGGTGCGAAGTGCTGGTGCCGGAGCCTCGAACTTCGCGCAAGGCCTTAGGATTTCAAGCTGCTGCTAAATTTACCCAAGGCGGTGCCTTTTTTCCTTGGAGCAAACGTCCTGTGCTTAGTCGCAAGACAATTGTCCGTTGCATCATTCATTTGGCAAGGCTGAAGGAGACCTAGCACTCCTGAATCGTATGGCCGGAATCTGAGCTGTTCCTCCGGGCGCGAAGTTGCAATTTCAAGCGATGGCAGGTCCAACATGGCAGACAACAGATGTGTTGGTATTCAGTCTCGCTAGTTCAGCTCTTTCGCATCGT